CCAAAAATAAACAAAAATGAAAAAACGTTACTACATTTTTCTGCTCATTATCTGATAAATGTGTTGCCCAGTCATGGGAAAACCTACTGATTATATAGAGTCAGGTGCAACTCAAAAAAGCTCCATTTTGCGGTTTCAGCTTTGAAATACAAGGAAGCGTACCCCATATCAGACATAATGGTTATGACTTGTACAGGGGTATTCTTTACCTTAATTCAGCTTCTCCAGTTTCGTATGCCAGTCTAGCATGGTAGGGCATTGTCTGGCTGGCTAGCTGGGCATCAACAATACCTTGTCTGTACCATAACTTCCGTGCAGTTTTACTGAACTATTTATACCAATGTATCTTTGGAAGATGGAGTGTCACATTCTTAGATCAGTGTTTGTTTGAAATATTTTACACCAGAGTTTTCCAACAGACGACACTAAATACAGATTTCATGCCCTACTTCCTACAAATATGACCTTGATTAAGTCATCATATCTCCACTAGTGATCTGCAAAGTTATGAAATTTACTTCACTCAGGGAAACAGAATGTCATTCCTCCTCTAATTATACCTAATGATACATTATAACCTTCATAACTAAATAGTCCCAGAGAAGTATGTCACCAAATACATTTATGACCTTGACCTTTGTTGGGGTCACATAGAGGTATAGTATGCCAAGCTTCTAGTAAGTACACCTTGATCTTATTCACAGATAGAGATGCAAATCACAAATCTATGACCTTGACCTTTGTATGTATCCTCCTTTAGTGATGACAGATATTACTTTGGACTTAAGAGCTACAGAAGATTAAGTTGCAGCTGGTGATGATACAAGCAGTTACGAAGTAAAAACCACACCTCTAGTAAGTGATGACAGATATGCCATTTACCTTGGTTATGGACAGAGAAGTGTGCAACACCTCTAGCAAAGATACCTAGTACGACCACCAAGAGGTGGTATGTCACGCCATGCATTAATGACATCAGGCATTACACACGCTACCTAATGATAATGGATATAATACTGACCTAAGTGGGGTTAACAAAAAGGTTTCACATTCTGTAGTAATTATATAGTTATGATCTTGACCTTGCTTAGGAGTAGAGAAGTATGTCACACTCTTACAAGTGGTATAGTTATGACCTTGACCTTGCTTAGGAGTAGAGAAGTATTTCACACCTTTACTAGTGATATAGTTATGACCTTGACCTTGCACACTTCACCTTCTGCGAGGATAGAGGTTAACCCCCACTTGTGATTAGTGTCACACCTCTGGTGATGATAAATATATAACCTTGACATTGTTAGCATCATGAAGCAAAGAAGGACGCCTCATGAGATATTTAAAACTGACCTTTATAAGCCAGAGATGTTGATCTGCCCCCTCCTAATGATAGATATGACCTTGACCTATGTTAGGGTTACAGGTCAGATGTTACTCATTCTGTAGTTTTGGAACATTGTCTTCTCAAATGTCTTATACATGACAACATTCTATTCATTACAAGAGGCCCAGAGGGCCTGTATCGCTCACCTGGATACCTAAGCAATCATTGCAAACTATTCTCCAAATGAGATCAAGGGAATATGCCAGACTCCAAGGCCAATCCTTGTAGCATAGCTATATTAGATTTTTCATGCCCAGCAATTTTATGTATGGTTATGGGGTGGGGATCTCAACTGTTTCCAAGCTTTGACTCAGAAATTAGGTCCCTAGAGTTGTGGCCAGACCCCAGGATCGATTCTAATATTGTGACTGCATTTGTCTCTTTTTGCCAAGCATTTGTATATATATATAGTTTTGGGGTGGGGATCTCAACCATTTCAAAGTAATGACCCAGGGGCCAAGTCTGCAAGGGTGGGCAGACCCTGGGATCAATTCTAATGTGATGACTGCATTCGTCTCTTTATGCCTAACAATTGTATATATAGTTTTGGGGTGGGGATATTAACAATCTGATTAAAATCATCTGTTACATGGCTTCGTTAACTTCGTACTACGCCTGTGCAGGCGGAGCCTTGTAACAGATGATTTTAATCAGATTGGGGATATTAACCATTTCAAAGTTATGACCCAGGGGTTAAGTCTCCAAGGGTGGGGCAGTCCCCAAGGCCAACCTGGAAGCATATGTGCAATCATCTCTTTATACTCAGCAATTGTATATATACGGTTATAGGGTGGGGCTCTCAACTGTTTCCAAGCTGTGACTAAGAAACTAGGTCCCTAGGGGTTCGGTCAGACCCCAGGGTCTATTCTGATATCATGATTGCATTCGTCT